AAAAAAAATGAAAAAAATGTTACCTAAAAATGCATAGGTAAGTCAAAATATTAATATTATTAATGGATATTCATTAATAATAAAAAAAAAATTATAGTTAATTTTAAATAATATCTTCTATTTAAATGTCAAAAATACAAATAATATGCCCTATCAAAAAATTAATACTACCTTCAATGTATACATTTGGCTGATCAGTGGAAACTTCATTATCGTTCAGTTGAAGTACATTTTGACACTTTTTTCCATCATCTGATTGAGTTATATTCGTTCCATAACATTCGTTATCGTCAAATAGTTTGAGTAATTCATCCACGTCATTCATTGTATTTTCGACATTTTCAACTATTTTATCTTTGACAGTTGTAGAAGCCGTTACATGATTTTCAACCTCACATTTTGGTTCTTCCATAATAATAATATTATTATCAATATTATTATCAATATTATTATCATGCTCTGGAGCAACTGAATCCGTTTCATAAAAAATCGGTAGTGAGTCCAACCATTTTGCAACCTTTTCTCTATCTTTTGAAATGGTTTTATGATTTTCACCATCACTTTTTACATGTGACAGTATTTTCCATCCTCGGCGTATTCTCTAACATAATAAACATTACTAACTTTATATTGAATATAAATTCAGAGCTTGACTTAATAAAATTATTTTAACGTTTAACTAATTATTATTTAATTGCTATCAAAATGTGTTGAAAAATAGTATTTTTACTTACATGTGCCATCGTTTGATTTGAATCTGAATTCAAACTTCAATAGTCAATACACGTTTACGTCCGTGTTAATTTTAAATTTTGTGCCGCTACAACTGCTGAACTGCTGCGTAAATACTAATCACAAGTTGTGATTCACAACTCACATTACAACGAGTAAAAAACACATAAATGACAAGAAAACCGAAACCTACTGTGGTTGGTTGATCTAATATTATTATTGTTATTATAAATTAATAGTAATACGTATATTGAATATCCTTATCAAAATAATATTATTATTATTATTATTATTATTATTATTATTATATTATTAGACATTTTAATCGACTATCCACTAGCTTATCGTTTTAAAAATAGATATCTGATCTAAATTTAAATAACTATTATGAACTGTAACCAAAATGTACCGATGTCAAATGTAGTAACCCTATTACAAAGCAATACTATTAATAATGCAATCATAAATATTATGTGGTCAAATGCTGTAACCCTCGACTAGGTCATGAATAACACTAAATTAACTATACAAATAATTATTACAAACTTTAAATTCTTAAGAAAACTAATTCTTGGGTATCACAGGAAAAATAAATAATTATCTAGTACGATAAAAAATTATTATGTAGGTAAATAAAACGTTTAATGTGTCTATTGTAAAATTATGTTTTTGTGGGTTACGACAATTGGCCTTTTGACCATCGATATGTTTGATTAGAATTATTAATTTCAAAAACTTAAGTATTTATATTATATCCTTACATCTCATTGCCCCGGCCGTGTAGGAGGCATCACTGATTATTTCCTGAAAATGATGTGTTCAATTAGAATTATCAATATCAAACACTTAAATATTATATAAATATATCCTTACGACATTTGCCGGTGGCGACTGGCTGGCCGTCACGTACAACAGCTGCTCCTGAAAATAATTTGTTTAATTAGATTTATCAATTTCGAAAACTAGATTATTTTTTTAAATTTTTTACTAAATTATTTTTAAAGAGTATACTAATACATACTTACGTCGTTGGATGGTGGCGCGGTGGACGCTCGGCTTCGCGACCGATTGACCTCCTGAAAATTGTTCGTTTAGTTAGATTTTTATAGAAATGTAATTAGATTTATTTTTAAATATAAATATATATCCTTACGTTTGACGATGGCCGTGATGTTGGGGAGCAGGATCTGGAGAGAGGCTTAGCACTGCCACCTCCCCTACCACTGCCACCTCCCCGACGCCTTGCGCCATCACGACCACCACCTCCTCGCCACCTGCCACCATCACGACCATTGCCGTCATCGCCGCCACCAACTACACCTCTGGACTTGGCTACAATATAAATTACAATTATATACAGTGGCGCCGAACTCAGAATTTTTTTGTGAAGCGAAATCTAGAATTTTTTATCCACCCACCCACCCACCCACTTAAACTTTTCAGCCATCTAATATAATATGAAAATACTACACACAATTTCCTATGTTAAGATTATTTTATTTGAGTTTTTCCATGATTACATAATGATTATAAAATTATTATTATTATTTTTTTATAAGATATTATATAAGATTATATAAAGCTAATTACTAAGCATTTTCAAGATTACAATTAGTGCATTATGTAATATAATAATATAATACAATGTATAATGTATTACTAATATAATATAAATAATTATACAATTAAGTAAAAAGCTTAGCAAGAACTGAACTATTGGAAGCAAAGTATTTGATCACACATTCTGTGTCAATTAATTATGTATATCTAATTCACATGCCATTATCATAAGTGCTTCCAATCGATCTTCTGACATAGTGCTTCTTAAACGGTTTTTCACTAATTTTAATTTTGAAAACGCTCGTTCAGGGGAAGCACTAGATACTGGTAGGGTAACAGCAATACTCAGTGCTGTGTACATAGTTGGGAATATTTCTTTTAACCCTGATGAATGGACAACTTTAAAAATAGTATTGATAGTTCCACTATTTTTTTTACTATTTTGATCTATCTTATTATATTGAATTTTATCACCATCATCATCATCATGGCCATCAGTATCAAATTGTATCCAAGAATCATTGTTGGTGTCATCAAATTTTACTGGTAGATTCATTATTTTTTCAAAATCAAAGTATGATTTGGAAAACTGAATATATTCGTGTTTTAAAGATTTCTCATCAACAAATTTACCGTATACTTCTGAAAACCCTTTGAACGCATCTTTCGGTATAATATTGGTCTCAGCCACTTCTCTCAACCGTTTATGTGAAAATAGACTTAAGTCTTTAAAAAATGGCATTGTTTCTTCATTGAACCTTTTAGTTATTTGAGTAGTGGTAATATCGAGAATCGTATAGAAAGTATTGACTTTAAAATTTTCTATTTGGTCAATTATACGTTGATCGGAAGAGATTTCCCCAAGCATTTTTTTAGTACGACGAATTCTATTAACAGGTAATGGTGTAAAAGAAAATTCTTTATTTTTTGATTCTATGAAATTATCTTTTTCTTGTATAAGATTTTTAAATTCATCATCACTTCTGAATGTCTTGATAGTATTAAGAGTTTGTTGAACATGGCTAATAGCAGCACATAAATCAATATCAACACTGCGGACATTTACTAAGAGTACTAGTTTTATCAAATGTTTTTTTGAAGATAAGTGCTGTTAATAAAAATCGTTCTTGCAATAAGTAATCAAGTAAGCTTCCAGCTTTAACACTTGAAACTCTATCTGTCATAGGGTCATCTTTAATATCAAATAATGTGTCAATAATAGCATCATAAGTATCAAGAACAGTTTGAAGAGAAGACGAATGAGATGACCATCGAGTGGTTTCAACTCGCTTGAGTCTTCGAAGTAGTTTATTTGGATACCTTGTTTTCTGATTAGTACTATAAACATGTACACGCTTCTTACTACTTCCTATAAAATCATATAATGTTTCTAAATATCCAAATAAATCTCGAGCCTCTATGCAACAGCTAACAGCATCAACAACAACAAGATTAAACCGATGAGCCCAGCACCAAACGTACACTGCACACGGATTTTCTTTTTTAACAAGAGATTGAAGTCCATTATAGGAACCTTTCATGGACGCTGCACCATCATATGATTGACCAACAAGGTTTGTTCTCCAATCTAAACTCATTTCTAAACAAATTGTATCCAACATTGTTAATAAATGTTTTCCAGTAGTCAGGACAGTCTCACGTAGAGCAAAAAGTCTCTCACAAACAGTGCCATTTTCTTTGTTGATATAGCGAATGACTAAAGATAGTTGTTCTTTTCGTGATACATCGAATGTCGTGTCTAATGAAATACTAAAAAATACAGCAGTTAAGATTTCTTTTTTAATTACATCATGTATATTTCTATAAATGGCTTCAATTAGTTGGTTCTGTCTCTGCCAAGATATACAATTGTAAGTTTTTCTTCCTTTTAACTCAAGACTTGTAACATAAGAAGATAGAGCAGGCGAATATTTTGCAAGAAGTAAAACCAAATCTTTATAATTACCTCGAATATTTTCTTGCCATCCTTCTCTATGACTTCGAAAAGGTAAAGAGTGTCTGCCTAGATACATCGTTAAATCAATTAAGTGTTTAACAATTTCTTTATTAAAAGCAATATTAGCAATGGAGGATTCTTTCATAGAATGTATAAGAGGATATTCAACTTGCCTATATGCTGCTTTTATCGAAGCCATAATATGAGCTTCTGAAGTTTCATGCATTATTTAACTAGTGGTACCTTTGCTCCAGTTAGAAAACACGTACGTTGCACCAGCACCGCCCATTAAAAAATTTTGATTTTTTATTTCACCAATAATTAGCACGTAATTAGCATGAATTTGCATGACTATCGCCGAAATCCGCACGATCGGAACTCCCGTATAATATCGTCCCATACAATTTGGTCGTTTCGCCAGCACCGCCCCAGGGTGAAATTTTTCAAATTTCTAAAATTAAACCACTCCATCATTTAGCACGCATTTAGCATGAATTTGCACGACTATCGCCGAAATCCGCACGATCGTAATTTTCGTGCAATTTCGTCCACAGTGATTTATTGTAATTTGTATTATAACAAATCAAATTTAAATAAAAACCACCAGTAGAATATAAAATCAATATTTAATAATAAAAATTCATTTTTCTATAAAAAAAATTTACTCAAAAAAATTACATCCTTTTTTCATCTTAAAAATAATTTTAAGGTAATTAAATATTTTATTATATACGTTAAATGCATAATTAAATTAAATTGTATACATCAGTGTTTCAACTGGAACAATTTTACTCGCCTTGGTGGGTATCGGTTTTTTTTTCAGGTCATCGAATAGATCCCAACTTCCGGTACCTCTTTTAGCGTATCCATTATAATGACCAATGGTGTTTCGAAGTTTAGATTTGCCAAGGTGAAAACTTATAACGCCTCTTAGCTCATACGTCACTGAATTATGAATTAAAATTTGTGGAATATCACATAGTTTCATTTTTACTTGTTCCGTTGTTTCAGAACTTCTGTTTTTCGAACTATTTTCTTCGCCTGAAAATATGTTCAAGTTAATCAGTATTAGGATAATTTAAGATAAGTTTAAATTTAATAATTTATAAAACAGAACTATTGTTTTGCATTTGTTACAATATTTACCTTCCCAGAAAAATATGTCAATAAATAAATGTAGTTCAGAAATAGTTGGAATTATTTCTTTTATTCCTTCACATGACGTGTCCGACAACTTGTAACCACATTTTGATTTTTCTGGTGTGATACAGTTATCTAAAAACTCTTGCAACTTTCTTATTTTTCCATCTGTTGTTTGGTAAGATAAATGAACTTTTGATATGGGAAATACCGGTGAACAACTGGACGAGGAGCATATTGTTGAAAATTTTAGGGTTTTTTTAGAAAATCTTTTAACAATGCATTTAGAACTGTAGTAATTGTTGCATCACAAGCAGCTAATGTTGTGTCGTATTCAATTGGTTGAAGTTGAGGATTCATATGATTCAGTATAATATCAACACGTTCGGAATATGTTGATGCTTTAATTCCGTTTTTCACAATTTGTATGATAAAATTAAAAAAACTATTTTGCCTTATGTCATTAATTTTATTTGCATATAATTGACTATCGCAGTATGAAACCTAGAAAATAAATATTTTAAACAATAAGTTAGTAATTAATAAAAAAAAAACTATTGCAACTAATTATTTGTGCATGCCAAACAAGTAAAAACATGATTAGGTATAATACGTGAATTGATACTTTTTAAAGTCCATCCCGTACAAGTGTATTTTTTTTAACATGAAACCTTTTAATTATATTTAGTATTTGAGATATTTACAAAAATATACAAACCATCATCAGTGATGTCAAAGAATCGAATGCACATGTGTTACTCAATATAATTTTTTCTTTTCGATTTTTGTTTTTAGTACTCTTTAATTCTTCAAAGCGAGAACCGTTTTTTAATATAGGTAAGGACTGTTTATTCCTTAAATTGCTTATATGTAAATAACGTAATTATGGATTTGGAACCAGATAAGAGTTACTTTTTCGTTCTTTATTGCTTTTCCTGTTCCAACTTTCTCTTGCCTTACTTTCTTGGTCATTGATACATGGATTTTCACAATCTTCATTTTCCTGTATATAATCTGATTCTTCATTTATGAAAACTTCAGTATCTCGTACAACATATAATGCTGAAGGAGACTTTTGATTATCTTCAATTAATCTTAAGGAAGACCACTCATCGTCATTGTTATTATTTTCAATTATGTTCAATGTTTTATCAGGCCATTGATTTTGCCCTGTACAATCAAATGACGAAGACGAATGTTCATTACCATAGTTGCATTGATTCAATTCCACAGTTGGTGACGAGAGAACATTAATATTACTTGGTATACGGATTAGGGCTGCGCCTTTTAAAGATGTTATATGGGTTTCTAAAAAATATTCGAGTTCAGTAGGTATGTGTTTAAAAGTGACAGTTTTTAGTTTTCTAAAACTTGACTCCACTGCTGCTGAACTTGATATTTCTCTCCATACCCAAAAATCGGTATCATCACTCCTGACCATAATGGTAAAAATTTCATAATTTTTATTAAAATTGGTACCAAATCTGGAATATTAAGAGGGTTTATAGTTGAACCTTCTTTTACCAAACTTTCACTATCATTATAGATACTGTCTGCCCATGCTTTGAATGGATTTTCAAAATTACCCAGACCCTCATTTTGGTTTTCATATAATTCATCTAACAAACTTCGCGCTTTGTCCTCAGATTCTGCTAATGGTATTGCATCATTAAACTGTTGTTCGAATTCTATAAATCCACAAGAAGTAGCTTCAAGTATTTTTTTTTTGTGTGTCTCACATGGAGTTTCCTGTCTTGTTCGTAAGCATATACCAGCAGTTTCATTTAAAAAAACCACAAACATTGAAAGTAGCTGTGCGGCTGCGGCTTTCCCTGATGGCACGTGAATGGCGCGGGATATTGCCGCCAACCTAAAACGCCGGATAGTTACAAGGTGGTGGATGAGTTTATTAGGAAAAAGACTCGGATATTATAATTTTAGTGGACTGTATTGAAACTAAAGATTATTACTAAATATACAGATAACGGAACGGGGGGGTCCTTAAATATAAGACTATATTAACAAAATAAATTTTACAGACATTGATATTTTTATTAATGACTTAAGTAAAACTATGAACATCACCGGATTTATCCCTGGATGGCCTGACGATGTCCGAAGATGTACTTCATGAAGACGCAACGAGGGGGCATCAACCGAAAAGACACAATGCCAATTACCACGACGACGGTGACGGTGACGGCGACGGCGTAGATGAGATGTCGGTGTCAACGAGTGGCACACACGCGGATCGGTATTATACAACGGCGACGGCCGTGGACGCCGGTGGCGGCAAGTGGCGCACACGCGACGCGGGTAAAGCTGCGACGAGCCGTGAACGTCGGTTGCGGCGATGGCGCACACACAACGTGAATAAACGCGGCGACAAACCGTGAATGTCGGTGGCAACGATGGCGCACACACGACGGGAATACACGCGGCGACAAGCCGTGAACGTCGGTAGCGGCGATGGCGCAAACGCGACGGTTTAATAAGACGGCAACACGATGTCGACGACGGCGAGGGCGCACATTACGACGACGTACCTACTTACAAACGGCACCGCGAAGACAACGAAACAGTACAAAATTAATAAAAATAACGTCTCACATTTTTCACGAAGAAAAAAAGAAGAACGAGAGCGAGCGACAGCACACACGACAACAACAAAACGATATCTTATCATAAGATAAGAGTACTGTTAAAAAGAGGCAACGCCGGGTGCACGGTAATGATCAACGTGCGAAACGACGTAAGCGCGACCGGTTCGTTGACATAAACATCGCAGGGCGGGATCACAAGTTCACCGCGACATCCGTCAAGCGCTGATATTATCGTACCCAACATTTCTCCCCCGGTTGGAAGACGCAGCAGCGTCTTCCAAAAGGAATGTAGATGGCTAGAAGCTTCGTCTCGTCCCGGTGATTCAAATTAAACAAACAAAAAACAAAAAAAAATAACCTAGAAAACAACAAATTTAAATATAACAAATACAAAAAAAAGAAAAGGAAAGGAAAAGTTTTTTTTCGTTTTTCTTGAGTATGTTTGGACTTAAGATGAGACGGGAAGCCGGACTAGTTTTACCACCGGGCGTTTGATAAATCCATCCTGGGTGCGCACGGTAACGACTCGTACTATCTCGTCCTGTCCCGGATGCACCATTGTAACTCGACCCATACGCCAGTCGGAGGGTTGAAGAGCAGGTGCATCAACAAGAACCATATCTCCTATCTTCAAGTTTGTGTCTGGTTTCGACCACTTTTGGCGGCCTTGTAACGTGGTGAGGTATTCGCGTGTCCATCTTTTCCAAAAGGATTGATGCAACTGTTTGATCAGCTGCCACCTCGTCAAACGGTTGATCGGTGTAGCAGTGATGTCCACCTCTGGAATGCTGAGAATCGGTTGGCCAATTATGAAATGTCCTGGTGTCAACGCTTCAAGATCGTGTGGATCAGTTGATGCGGGTGTTAGAGGTCGAGAATTTAAGACTCCCTCAATCCGTGTAGTTAAGGTCTGAAACTCTTCATAAGTTAGCAACTGTGTACCAATTACCCGTTTTAGGTGGAATTTCACACTTTTGATGGCGGCTTCCCACAAACCACCAAAGTGTGGTGCTGCGGGCGGGTTAAAATGCCACTTACAGGGGAACCGTGAGGAGACTACATTCTGGGTGCCTTCATTCTGGAACAATAACTTCAGTTGACGAGCAGCGCCCACGTAATTTGTACCATTGTCCGAGAACACGCTTTCAGGGATGCCACGGCGAGCGACAAATCGGTCAAAGGCGGCAAGGAAGGCACTAGCTGTTAAATCCGAAACAATATCAATGTGAACAGCCTTGGTGGCCATGCAAATAAATAGAGCAATATTTACTTTGGTCGTTTTTGTGTTGCGTCTTTTGCATTCCTTCACCAGATAAGGTCCACCATAATCCATGCCAATCTGGGAAAACACACGGTGATTTTGAACGCGAGATACCGGCAGATTACCCATGATAGGTGTTGGATGGTTGGCTCTGTATCGAGTACAGGTGACGCATGAGAAAATACTGCGGCGAATCGCATCACGAGCCGAAACAATCCAAAACCTTTGGCGAATCATAGAAATAATGAGTTTGGGCCCGGCATGCAAGAATGTCAGATGGTAGTATCTTATTGTTAATGTTGTCAAGTGCGATGATTTGGGCAAGAGTAGCGGGTTTTTAGTCTCTTCACTTAATAGAGAATTTTCGAGGCGACCTCCTACACGAATGAACCCCTTCGGGTCCAGAAACGGAGCCAGCTGAGCCATTGTTGGTGGCGTTATAATACAAGTCTTTCTCGACAATTGTCTGAGTAAATTGGGGAAATGTGATTTTTGAGTCAGACGAACAGCAAACATTGTGGCTCGATTTCGTTCTGCTAACGTGAGTGAACCTGTGATACCCGCTTGGTCTAGAAAGGTAGCGTAGACAAAACGAAGCGCGTACCCAAGTGACCGTTGCATATGAGACCATGTTGAGAATCGGTGCAAAACATAATCTTCAGCTAGAAGTTTCTGAGCTGCGAGGGCATTGATGCTTATTGGTTTGACTTCGGGTAAATCACCTGGTTGAATGGTAGTGAAATTCGATACAGGCCAATCAGTTTCAGGGAGATGAAGGAAAGCAGGACCGTTCCAATGTAATGAACACGCTATCAAAGCAACTGGCAGTAATCCTCGAGACGACGGGTCGGCAGGGTTCTCACTCGTTGATATATGCGACCAAATGCAAGTAGGGATTAAGGCACGTATTTTTGCAATACGGTTGGTGACAAAAATCTTAAAGAATTTCTGATCGGTGGTGAGCCATGACAATACTATGGATGAATCGGTCCAAGCTTGCATTTTCGTGATATTGATGATAGGTGAGATTACGGAATGAATATTTTGCATTAGTTGTGCCAACAACAATGCCGCACATAGTTCAAGACGCGGTATCGTTAGTGAAGCGTCCGTGGCACTGGCTTTAAGTGGTGCTACTTTGGTTTTACAGGTTATTAAATATGTTTGGAATACACCTGATGACCGAATGACACGGAGATAAACTGTTCCCGCATACCCTTTCTGGGACGCATCACAAAAACCAAGTAGCTGTACCTCCTTGTAATCGCAAACGTTTATGTGACGGGCAAATTGAATTTGGTTTAGTGAAGGCATTTCAGAGACATAATTATTCCACGTTGTCGCAAGGTCAGCGGGAAGTTGAGTGTCCCAATCCAATTGGTTTTGCCATAGTCGCTGCATGAGAACCTTGGCGTACAGGAGCGTGGGTCCAAGAGTGCCGATTGGATCGAACAATTTAGCAATAGCAGATAATATGCCTCGTTTTGTGGGCTTAGAATGGTCGGTGCATGTGTGGTAACCGAATGTGTCTGTGTGCGGGTCCCAATGGAGACCTAGAATTTTCAGAGAAGGTTCATCCTTTGGATCGAATGAGAGGCAGTTAGCTCGGTCCTCAAGAGGCACGCTGTTTATTATTTTTTCACTGTTGCTACTCCACTTCTTGAGCACGCAGCCTGCGGACTTAAGCAGACCAACGATGTCTTCCTTCATGCTGAATAATTCTTCCTCTGTATTGCTGCCAACAAGTATGTCGTCCACATATGTGTGGTGTTTAAGAATTCCCTTTGCAGCGGGAAATTGCGCTTCGGAGACATCATCCAAGGCATGCAATACACGTATCGCAAGGAACGGTGCAGAATTGAGTCCGTAGGTAACTGTCAGTAATTCAAACTCTTGTACCTCATGGTCATGTGACCGACGCCACAAAATGTGTTGATAAATACAATCTTCATCCCGAACAGAAATCTGTCGATACATCTTGACAATGTCGGCAATGAAGATGAATTTGTATAAGCGGCAAGTCAGTAGTAATTCACCTATCTCCGTTTGCAATTTTGGTCCAATGCATAAGGAATCGTTAAGAGACGTACCGGAGGATGATTTGGCCGACGCGTCGAAGACCACTCGTAACTTCGATACATCACCATCACGTTTCATTACCGCATGATGAGGTATGAAATACTTTCCTGGTCGTGTCGCAATCTTCATATGGCCCAATGACAAGTATTCGTCCATGAATGACCGGTAAGCATCGTATAGAGCCTGGTCTTTACTCAGTCGTTGTTCCAAATTAAATAACCGTTTGAGGGCCATCGATCGTGAGGAGCCGAGCCCATGGGAGGACGACAAGTCGGAGACGGTAGTAACAGGTTGTGAACCTGTCTCGGCAAAGACGACGTCTCGGAAGGGTAATGCAACGCAAAACCTACCCGACGCGTTCCGCAATACAGTCTGCTTAAACCATTTTTCACAAAGTTCGTCCTCTGTGGTAGGGATAGATGGCGTTGCAGGCTCTTCGACGGACCAAAATCGATGCAGCAATGTATCTAGAGATGGATTTAACGTGATCGATAAAGAATTGGATGAAGCCAAATTATCGTTTGATGAAGAATTGACCACTGTACCAACTAAAACCCAACCAAGATATGTATCTAACGCTGACGGTAAGCTATCTGAATGTATGATTTTCGAACAAGGGCGAATTAAATAAGGAAAAACATCGCAACCAAGAAGCATATCGATCCGGGCAGGTCTATCAAAGTCCGGATCCGCGAGTTGGAGGTTTTGATACTGCGCACGTACACTTAATGGTAAAGGTCTGGCTGGCATGAATGAAGTAATTCGTGGAAGGACCAACACTTCCTTGCAACTGATAACTGGTTCCATGGATTGACCTGGAATGAACGAGCATTCAGTTCGACCCTTGACTGGTATGACTTGATTCTGGCCTAGGCCTGATATCTCCGTGCGACATTTTTGACGACCCAAGCCGATACGGTTGGCACACTCAGAAGTTATGGCTGATATCTGTGATCCACTATCTAATAATACTCTCACTGAATGATAGCTACCGCAGCGATCCTGAATACGGACACAGGCCGTCCCGAGGACGACAGTATTATTAGTGTAAGACGTGCCAACAAACTGAGTTTTTGGTTCGATGGAATCGGACTGATTCGTTGTGATCACATGATTCGACGACGGACCAGGCTGAGAGTGCTTGTTTTCGGATTTTAAATGCAGAAGGGTGTTGTGACGTTCACCACAAGTCTTGCAGTTATACTTTGACGTGCAGACTGACACCGAGTGTGAGGGATTCATGCATGAGAAGCAAAGTTTATTTGACGATACAAATTCACGTCGTTTGACTACCGTAAGTTTCGAGAACGCTTGACATCGATAAATGGCATGATCCTGTTTGCAATACGCACAACTGCGTTGAAACTTTCGTCCTTGATTAAGCTCAGAAAAGGTACCCGTCGAAGTAACATTCGCGTTAGCAATAGTCAACGCCGCACGAGAACTTGGGTTGTTCTTGATTTTTGTTGAGTGGGTAGCCAATTTTTCCGAACTTCTAATATTTTCCAATACCTTACACCGATGTTGTACGAATTTAAGCAGTACATCAAATACGGGAATGGAATCTTGAGACACAGTGCTCTCAAAAAGATTACGGGTGACGGGGTCTAACGCACGAGAACCGATAAAAAATAACATGAATCCCGCAAGATCGTTCACTCCGAGAACTTTGATTGCGGCGATGTTCTCTTGAAAAGTGCTCACAAACGCTGAAAGTGAAGAAAGAGACTCCGTACTAATTGGACGAAAGGAGAATAACTTCTCTAAATGGGCAGTAGCAAGTAAGCGCTGATTATCATAACGGTCAATCAGAGCCTCCCATGCAATGTCATAATTAGCAGCAGATAAAGGTATGGCCTTGACGACAGTAAGCGCTGATCCGGACACACAAATTAATAAATAATGGAATTTTTCTAACTTTCCAATATTTAAGTTGTCGTGTACCAAAGAAATAAAAGTGTCCCGAAATGAGATCCAGTTAATTAGAATTCCGTCAAATTTTGGTAAGTCAATCTTTGGAAGTTGTATGTTTGAGCTACTGTTAATGTTGGATTCGATCGTGGAAGAGGACGTAGGCGGCTCATCAAGAACGGCGTCAGCGATAGCCATAATACTATAATAAAGTTCCGACATGCTGTTCGCAATGGGTACATGAACGTTGTCATACTCTTCTTCGCGTAGGAGTTGTATGAGTATGTCAAAAATAGCATCCTGCTCAACATTAAATTGTGTACGAAGAGAACCGATGTCTTTTTTACGAGCGCGGAACAATGGAAGGACCTCACTATTCACTTCCAACTTTTTAGCTAAGTCGAAAAGAAATTGCATTTGTGACACTAACGAGTCGCGTTTTGCGATTGTACGTTTAAGCAGTCGCTCCGCGCGTTCCTTTTCTGCGCTCCCCAGAGTCATTATCGTGGTAAAAGAGTTGTGGAAGGTACTTATATCCGGCCCGAAGGACCAAATGTGCGGCTGCGGCTTTCCCTGATGGCACGTGAATGGCGCGGGATATTGCCGGCAACCTAAAACGCCGGATAGTTACAAGGTGGTGGATGAGTTTATTAGGAAAAAGACTCGGATATTATAATTTTAGTGGACTGTATTGAAACTAAAGATTATTACTAAATGTACAGATAACGGGACGGGGGGGTCCTTAAATATAAGACTATATTAACAAAATAAATTTTACAGACATTGATATTTTTATTAATGACTTAAGTAAAACTATGAACATCACCGGATTTATCCCTGGATGGCCTGATGATGTCCGAAGATGTACTTCATGAAGACGCAACGAGGGGGCATCAACCGAAAAGACACAATGCCAATTACCACGACGACGGTGACGGTGACGGCGACGGCGTAGACGAGATGTCGGTGGCAACGAGTGGCACACACGCGGATCGGTATTATACAACGGCGACGGCCGTGGACGCCGGTGGCGGCAAGTGGCGCACACGCGACGCGGGTAAAGCTGCGACGAGCCGTGAACGTCGGTTGCGGCGATGGCGCACACACAACGTGAATAAACGCGGCGACAAACCGTGAATGTCGGTGGCAACGATGGCGCACACACGACGGGAATACACGCGGCGACAAGCCGTGAACGTCGGTAGCGGCGATGGCGCAAACGCGACGGGATTAAACACGGCGACAAGCCGTGAACGTCGGTAGCGGCGATGGCGCACACACAACGTGAATAAACGCGGCGACAAACCGTGAATGTCGGTGGCAACGATGGCGCACACACGACGGGAATACACGCGGCGACAAGCCGTGAACGTCGGTAGCGGCGATGGCGCAAACGCGACGGGATTAAACACGGCGACAAGCCGCGAACGTTGGTAGCGGCGATGGCGCACACACAACGTGAATAAACGCGGCGACAAACCGTGAATGTCGGTGGCAACGATGGCGCACACACGACGGGAATACACGCGGCGACAAGCCGTGAACGTCGGTAGCGGCGATGGCGCAAACGCGACGGTTTAATAAGACGGCAACACGATGTCGACGACGGCGAGGGCGCACATTACGACGACGTACCTACTTACAAACGGCACCGCGAAGACAACGAAACAGTACAAAATTAATAAAAATAACGTCTCACATTTTTCACGAAGAAAAAAAGAAGAACGAGAGCGAGCGACAGCACACACGACAACAACAAAACGATATCTTATCATAAGATAAGAGTACTGTTAAAAAGAGGCAACGCCGGGTGCACGGTAATGATCAACGTGCGAAACGACGTAAGCGCGACCGGTTCGTTGACATAAACATCGCGGGGCGGGATCACAAGTTCACCGCGACATCCGTCAAGCGCTGATATTATCGTACCCAACAGTAGCAATGACCGTAATTCTACTATAGATTGGCTTTTTATTAAGAGTCCAATAGAACGGAGAACAATTTCTTTTACACTTCGGGGAACAGTTTTTATTGGTGTCCATCTGCTACAAATCTTTATGAAATGGGCGAAATCAACCTTTACGAAGCATTTGGGAACGAAATATGAAGTTTGAGTTATTTCATTTGTGAGAAGATCTGCGCAAACTTTCACGTAATCTTGTAAAGACGAATATTGTGTAAAACTCTTGACAATTGCAGAAAGAAGAGCTACAGAATTATCACAGACGGTTTCTTTTGGTTTTATAACATCAGTACTGGTCCATTTTAAAAGCCATTTGGAAATGGCAATATTGCAGTGTCTTTCGCTTATCATATTAATGACTGTGAAATTTTGATTTTTTTGACGATCGTAAACAAGAGCTTCGTATAAAAATATAAACTTCGTTTTAACCAATCCTAGTTTTAAAAAATTTTTTACGACAGATCCAGTTGCATCGATCACTAATTTTGGATTTTCTGTGGTACAACTGTAACTACGATAAATATGAACTTGTTCAGCGCAGTTGTAATGTACAAAAAATGGATCGTATCCAATATCATGAATGATATTTTTATATTCATTTTCATTTTTCATAATTGCTAATGACGTTAGTACATCCTTATGCCTGCGATTATTTACCAAATGCTTTGATTATAATGTACGTAAACAGTTGCAGATGGAAGTATTGCTGGTTCATGGTCTCCTAAAATTATTTATTTATAGTTTAAACACAATTTATTTTATCAAAATGAATTGAATTTAATCTAAAGTAAATAATATAAATCTAAAGTATACAAATAGTAAACAAATTTCCCAGACGTCTCCTCTCTAATATTTAATATCAGGGTACTTGTTCTGCTGTAAGTACTTAGTCATTGAGTCAGAAGGTATCTAATAACAATGATTTTTTTTTAAATTTGAATTCAATAGGTATATAAAAGATGACTATAAGCGGAAACATTTAATAAGGCTCAATTTTTAAAAAAAATGTATGCTAATATATTTATGTATATGATTATATTATTAATGGTGTTAATACATTAAAATTAGTTTTAATATTTAATTATTTTCACATTGAATGACAATAATCATAAATCATAATATACATAATCTTGAAAATGTCCAATGGTTAATTTGTTTTAAATTACAACATTACAATATAGTATAAATTAAATCATTGGAGGATATAATATGGTTGTTTTCCAGGTACATTTAAATGGACCTCCACTTTCAAAATTTGAACTTCTAACCAAGCCAAACGTTTGGGCATCGTTTGTGCACAAATCTAGGAATTGTAGTTAAATAATATATATTTAAATAATTTCGTATTATAATATGAATAATAATAAAATAAAATGTTTTAAATATTATTTTGTTTGTTGAGTAATATTAATGAGACATATTCATAAAAAAATAATACAACTTAATGTTTCTTTTATAAATAAAACTTCAAAAACCTAATTTTATTATAGTGTGCATATAAAAAATAAACATTAAAAACCTCAGCATTGTTAAAATGTTATAAATTGTTAACAATATAATTAAAGATAATACTAACATTATATTAGATATCATATAACTACATCATAAGAGATATTTTTATTTTATTTAGTTTAGTTTTAATCAAGATTTTTTAATTGAATACAGATTTTTAAATATAGATTTTTTTAATAAGATAATTATATTTTATTTGGTTTTGTTTTGTTTTATTCAATCAAGATTTTTTTCTTAAAACAGATTTCTTATTCAATATAATTTTAGATTCTGAGCGGAGCGAGGAAGCTAATGGATTTACAATGATGTATATTGATTGGACAATTTCTTAAAAGCTATATTTTCTGAAAAGCCTTCAAATATATTAACATTTTATAAATCCTGTGTGGGAAAATTATTAAAATTAAAAAATGTATGAATTTTAAACAACAAAATAATTTGCTAGTTTTAATTTCAATGTTTATAAATAAATGTAAAAAATACATATTATTTTAACTTTGCGTATTTTTTTTTATTGTTATAATTACATATAAGGAACCTTGTATTTAATTTCAAAAATGTTTAACTAACTAACAACTAGGTAATCGTGTACAAATTTTGAAATTTCAAATATTTATAAATATATAGGTAGTACTACAAAAAGATCCAAAATATTAATCAAAATTTGAGCTACAAATATTTATAAAAAAAAGCATTCGTATCTTTTAAGTTTTTAAAATAACAACTATGATAATAATTCAGTTCATTTTTAAAAAAATTTGATTACCCAGTGAAAAAAAGATATCAACATTAATTCAAGGCAAAATTCAAAGTTTTCAAATGTATATACATTGCTAAAAATTTCAAAAATTTTTATTTTAGAAACACATTGTAAAACTAATACATTCATCTCTTCGCTCAAAATATAAAATTAATATATTAGTATTATAATCATCATTAATTAATTTTGAAGGATAGGCAAAACATGGATAAACAAAATGGGGATACAAATTTATACTTTTAGTATATAGACTTTAGTTTATATTATATTTTATACTATGCATATTTAGAATCAAATTTCTATTTTTACCAGTTCTCATAAGACGAGTAGCTTCCTTTTCTCGGTAAGTTTCACTCGAAATGTTTTTATCTATAATCGAAATGATTGCTTTTTCCTTAGCAGGTCCAATTAAACGACGTTTTTTGTTAGACTGATGCAATGCATCGAAGTTACCAACATATGTACACTCCATTAACACCCTGATAACAATTAAAATCATAATGAACAATAAAAAAAACTACGAAAGATCATAATATCGTTACATTTCTCATATTAAAAATAGTTGGAAGTATAATTAATAATGTGTTGGAATTAATAAAATACCTTGCATTATTCAACGGTTGTTCACTAATTATCTCTTTAAAATGTGATCTACATATTGAACACCGAGCAATAACAGTCACAAAATTTGATCCTTGGGGATGAATATTGGCTTTTTGAAATGATAGGCAGCATGGTAATTGGGTATGTATCCAAAAATGTTCTGCTAAAATAGGACTCCATTGATTTTTTGTTAGTGTGTAGTAGGTTTTACAAGTTTTTAAAGGCCGATTTTTATCATTTAGTCTGTAGAGTACTTCTTGCGGTTTTATTTGGTTCCATTCATCAACGGAAAATGTAAACAAAAAACTTTTTGTTGGAAAATCTTCATCACTACAACAATTGGTATCAGAGCTACTTTTTTTTTTTTTTTTTTTTTTTTTTTTTTTTTAGCATTATAGGCCATTTAGGCCCTTTGCTGCCAATATCAAATTCTTCCACTCTTCTCTATTATATGCATACATTAGGTCTCCATGCCAATCTGGTCTTAACTCCTGGATATCTCTGTTGACTGCATCTATCCAACGCTGCTTCAATCTGCCGCGAGGTCTTTTCCTGTTTAAGTTGTTTAGAATTACCTTCTTGACAATACTATTATCCGCTCTCCAAACGAGACCAGCCCACTCCATTCTAGTGCCTTTTACAAATTGTACTATATTTCCTTTTCCATATAATTGTTGTATTTGTTCGTTTGACCTTCTCTCCCACACTTGGGTATCAGGATTATATACGGAACCATAGATTTTTCTTAACACCTTCCTTTCAAATATATTAAGTTTATTCTCATCTCCTGCTGTTGTAGCCCAAGTACAGCATGCATAAGTCACAACTGGTCTGAGGTACGTAGTATATAGCTTCTCTTTATTTTTCCTAGATAATAGTTTTGACTTAAACAGATGTGACATAGCAAAGTAACATCCATTCCCAGCTTTTAAACGGAGTTTTATTTCATTATGCATACAGTTTCTATTATTTATGTTGACTCCGAGATATTTGAAGTCATGTACTTGTTGAAATGATATCCCATCGACTTCCAAGTCTGAATCATCTTCATTATCTCGTGCTTCTCTTGTCATGAACATATATTTGGTCTTCTCCTGGTTTATAGACAGCCCTATATGTTTGAATACTTTCATTAGATCTGACATACCGTTTACGGTATCTTGCTTCGTATCACCTAAAATTATTATATCATCCGTATATGCTAGTAGGGTATGGTTCTCATTTAATTCCATTATCTGTCGTCGTGGCATTCTCCTTAACACACTTTCTAACGCTAAGTTAAATAATACAGGTGATAGTGCATCACCCTGTCTTAGTCCTTTACCAACTCCAAAAGGGTCTGATAGCTCTCCTTGTACCCGAACCACACATTTTGTGTTACTGTTGCATAATTTTATTAAGTTAACTATTTTATTTGGAATACCTAGAGTTGTTAGGTTTTTCCATAGTTTATTCCGAATCATACTATCGTATGCTTGCTTGAAGTCTACAAATACTAGATGGATATTTTTATTATATTCGTAATGTTTACTTAGTATTTGTCGTAATGTGAATATGTGATCTATCGTTGACTTCCCCTTCCTAAATCCACACTGGTAGTCTCCAATCATTTGCTCCGATACATCTTGTATTCTTCGTAGGAGACATATAGACATAACCTTATACCCAACATCTAGGAGAGATATACCTCTATAATTTTCTATGCATTTGGGATCACCTTTTTTAAATATTGGACAGATAACTGATGTTCTCCAATCGGTTGGAATTTCTTCTTTACGCCATATCATAGATATAAGATTAAATATCCCATCCATTAGGCTTGGGCCTCCAAGCTTTAGTAATTCTGCGCAAATTCGGTCCTCTCCAGCAGCCTTAATATTTTTAAGTGATTTAATAATTGATTCTATTTCTGCTCTGTTTGGTTCTAATTCTTCATTTCTCAAGTTGTTGTTTGTGGGTTCCCCCCATTCTTCGTCATCTTCTCCTTGGTTTAAATTGGGTTCGCTATTCAGAAGTTGGTCAAAGTACTTCCGAAACTCCTCTGCTTTATCTTTACTATTTGACAATAGTACCCCTTCTCCATTTAATACGAATTGCGTTGTTGGCTTGAATCCGTTTTTTAAGGGTTTACACTGCCTAAAGAATTCTTTAGGGTTGTATCTATAACTTTCCAATTTTTCAATCTTTTCCTTTTCCATTTTCCTTTTTTCCTGTCTTAGCACCTTATGCGCTTCTTTTCTCTTTTTAACATATAACTCCACATTTGGCTGAGTTGGGTATTGTAGCATTTCTAATCTAGCATCATTGCGTAGTTTAATGACTTCTGCACATTTTTGATTAAACCAATGCTTTGCTTTACCCCTAGAAGGTTGCTTTATCATGTTGTCTGCTACCTCCAGGACTGAGCTCTTAATTATTTCCCACGTAGTTTGTACTTCTGAATGCTCTTCTAGTCTATTTGTATGAATATACAGTGCATCTTTTATTCCCTGCTGAAATTGTTGAAGTATTCTTTCCTCTCCTAGTTTATCCACATCGAACCTAGTAATGTTTGTTTTCTTCCTTTTCGCTTTCCAATGGTTTGACAATAATAGTTTTACCTTAACTAATACTAGGAAATGATCGGAATCACCATCGGCTCCTCTTTTAGACCTTACATCCTTGATACATGATCTATGCACTTTATCAACCAAGACGTGATCTATTTGACTTTGGTAAATTCCTCCTGGTGAGGTCC